AAAAAAGCAAACAAAAAAGTAACCGCAACAAGAGGGCGGAACTGTGCTTGTGCGTGGAGAGTGAGGGTGGCACCAGAGCCGCGGCATGTGTGCAAGAGGAAGAAGGTGCAGAAAGAAAAAAAAGTGGTCACCCAGAAAAGAGAAGAAAAAAAAAAGAAGGCGCATGGCGAGCCTTTAAATTCCTTGCCGTTTGTCAGGGTTGTCGTCCCTGTGTTGGTTGCGCGCCCAACGTGTTGCGTTGCTCTGCTTCCCTCTCCTATTTCTTCTTCCTGCCTTTTTTTTTTCCACTCTCTCTTGTGGCTCGCCAATGGTTCGGGCGGCAACCAGCTCTGTCGTAGCAGGCGCGAGGAGGAGGCGGCGGGGTTCGAGCGACGGAGGGGAGGACGCGTGCGTGTGTTGGGCTTTTCGGCTGAGTCAGCGTCTCTCTCTCTCTCTCTCTCTGAGTGTGTGTGTGGGAGGAGGCGTCCGTGTTCCAGCAGGGAGGGATGCTGCGCGGCAGTCTGCAATCCTTGGCCTCCCTGCGCTATCGTCGCCCGTACTGGATGCTGTTTCTGAAGAATGTTGACAACTGGAAGATTTACACCGTCATTCAGCAGCCGGACCACCAGCGCACAGAGATGTTGTACCAGGCGTGGCTGGGGGGACTTGATAGGCCGTACACCCGGCCGAAGTGTATGGCGAATCAGCCGCTTTGGCTCAGCAAGAAGCGCCACATTTTACGCAAAGACAGGCTGGACGGGCCAGAAACGCCGCTCGAGAAGTACGTCTTGGAGTGGTATAGGCGGTTTCACTCATTTCAGGGAACCGAGCGCCCGACGGCGGATGACCTTCACACCGCGCTTGACCTTGTGGAACGGCCTCTCGACCTCAGTTATGCGTTTCAGCTTTTGAATCAGTGTCGCAACATCAACAATATTCGTTTCGCAAAGGACACCTTTCTTGTCTTCCTAGAGGCATGTCTGCGCGTTGATCGCAAAGACTGCGCCGTGTATGCCGCAGAACATGCCGAGGCGTTGGGGTTTTGGCACATTGACGAGGATCATCTCCGGTACTTGCGCGGGGAGCAGAGCTGGTATAGGCTCTCACCCCTGGACAACATGTACTACCCACTAGAGGAAAATGTGGAGCTGAACGCGCGGCGTTCGCCGCCGACATCGGCGGGTGTTGTTGAAGGCACTGCGGGACCCACCGATTTTTCGGCGGCGGCCACGACGGCGACGGAGGGCGCTGCCGCTGCGCTGGGCGCGGAGGAGGCCGAAGTGAAGGCCGGGTTGGCGGAGGAGGGGGCGGCCGCGGCGCCCGTGGACGATGAGATTGCCCGGCTCGAGGCGGAGTTGGCCGCGCTGGAGGAGGAGGAGGAGGGGGCGATCGGCGGCGGCGGCGCCGGAGGCGGTAAAGGGCACTGAGGAGATCACAATAACGGCGGAACCCGCCGGGGTGCGACAAACAAAAAAGAAAAAAAAAGGAGGAAAAAAGAAACGTAAAGTGTGGTATTGCAGAGGCTGTCGTCCTGCGCCGTTTTTTTTTTCTCCCCATTTCTTACGCTTGTCGTTTTCCCTGTGTAAGGTGCGGCGTACGTGGCGAACCGTTTTCTTTGCTTATCCCCCCTCCCTTTCGCTTCCGTGTGTTTGTCGCTGCCTCTCATTCTCTTCTTGCAGCCGCTTCCCTGCAAACACTTTTTCACGCTTCATCCTCCTCCTGTTTTGCTCTCCCTCCATTTGGAGAACTGTGCCCTGTCGTATTCTACCGTCTTGTATCCTTTCCTTCCTTTTCCTTGTTGGGGTGGCGGAGCTTCTATTGACGCGTGCCGCGCCGCCGCTTCGTGAGTGCTTTTCCGAATTGGGAAACTTGACCCACTGATGGACTCGCTCACGCTTGTCTCTCTGGCGGATGCTCTGGTGCCGCAGGCGATAGCTGACGGGCTGGTGGCGCTGTGTCGCCGCACGGGGCAGGCGTGGGGGCCGAACAGCGCGGAAGCTCTTTTTTGGTTTCAGCCACCGAAGGTGCACATCTTGGAATTTGTTGTTGTGCACGTGTTTGTCTGGTGGTGCTTCCGTGCCTCGGCGGGGTACCCGGCACGGGCGTGGAGGCGCCTGCGGCGAGTCTCCCGTGGCAAATGTCAGGATAGCCGGTTAAACATGCTGCTGGGCCTTGTGCTCCTGCTGTGCTGGTCGTTTCAGGTGCTGCTGAAGGCCCTTCGTCCGCAGCCGCTCGTCCAGCTCGGGTGGTTGCTCATGCCCTGCCACCTGCTCACGCTGCTTTGGGTCGCCGTGCTCTTGCGCACCGGCCCGAGCCACTACCCCACGAATGTCTACCTGGCAACCCTCGCCGCGGATTACCATTGGGGACCCGTGGCGGCAATGGCCTCCCCCGATTGGGGAGACCATCGCTACAAACTTGAGGCCCCTGTTTTTATGGTCCATCATGGTCTGTTGCTCATCATGCCGTGCTACTTTGCCGCGCGCTATGAACTGTTGCCCTTGACCACGTCACACTTACTCCACGTGACGGCGGTGGCGACGCTGGTCAACATCGGCTTCTACACACCGTACGCCTACATTAGTGGCCTCAACTTGAACTACATGCTCTACCCGCCACCGAAGCTGATGCGTGTGTTTCCCTTCACGTCCGTGGCGTACCGCTTTTACGTCATCGCCATCCTTATCGCGTTAACGGCCATGTTCCACGTTGTCATTGCCGGATTTGGCGAGGGCGTTCGCTGGCTGCTGTCGCTTGGCAAACGCAGGCACCAGCCGCCCAAGCAGCGACTGGACATGAGTCGTTAGTCTCGGTACACAGGATAAGAAGAGAAGTAATCTGTAAATCAAAGGGATTAGTTTTTTTTTTTTGCACCCTTCCTTCTTCCCCTTTTTCCATATCTTTCCCTCAGGGCGTAAAGGGTTGTAGTTGTTGTTTTCCTTTTCTTTTTTGTCGCTACTTGTGGGGGGAGTATTGATTCACACATGCGTGTGCATGCGTGCGTGCGTGCGTGTCGTTGTTTGCGCGCCCTTTCTGGTGGTTACTTTGGGCCGCAGCGGCACTCGTGTCGCCTTTTGTTGTTGTTGTTTCTGCGGTTGAGGTGGGCGCCGTTTATTCGTCTGACATCTCTCGCGCGGTCTCTCGTCGCGGCGTGCGCATGGCTGCGGCTAGGCGGGAATACTTGCCTTTGGCTCTCGCCGCACCTGTCGCGGAGATGTTTTTCTTGCGGTTGTTGTTGTTGCTGTTTTTTTTTATTGTTTTGGGGGGGAGGGGCTCATGCCGTTAGTTCCCCAATTATTTTTTTTCCTCCTTCTTCACCACACACACACACACAGCAGGTAGGCAGGGCAGCGA